AGACGCGCCGCCGGAAACAGTGCTCCGACAGGCGCGTGACGTCACGTGGGTGACTGTTTTCCGGTGATTTTTTCTGGGGTTTGGTCGGATCTCTCTTGGGAACCTTGTGGTGGTGTTGGATTTTGCACAACACTGTTAATTAGTGACTTTGACGCAATAAGTCACTTAGGTCACCGGAAAATTGCACGGTGACTGAGTTCTTTCTTCCCGGATATCGCTGGAATGACGCACAACGATAAATTTCTCACCGTAGCTCTGATACCATGTGAGAAAGCACGGGAGAAAATATATTATTGATGTATTGACATATGTTACAATGAGCCCTATATATATACACACATAACATGTCCTACTCCTAATATATATTGGATTAGGGTTATTTATTTACTCCTATTTACATGACTATTCTAACACTAACTAATAGTGGGCTTGGGGCCAAAGTTTTGGATTCTGAGATTCTAAGTTATAGGTCAAGATCACAAGATGCACAAGTCTTTTCCCCTATCTGTACTTAAAAAAGTACAAAAGGATTTCCCAATCTTTAATTTTTCCACTCCCCGGGCAATTTGAGTTTGCATTGTGTGATATGCTTTCAATTAGTCAATTCTCGTACGCAGATATATGATGTGGTCCTTACAACATAGCAATAGATGAATTATGGCCTCCCTAATCGTTTACACATTTTCTTTCCACTTAGGCTTTCCTAGTCTGTCTGCTTGTATCATAAGGGTGCTCTAAGGCAAGTCTACTCCTCTTAGCACAATCTTTGTGCTTATGAATTTCATATATAACTGTTATCTTTCTCAAAAAGAAAAATGGTGCTGTAAGGCAAGTTTGCTACCCTCATACTTTTTGAACTCGAGGCTTGATGGTGTTGTTACTATGTGAATAGGGAACACACAAGCAGGAGAAAAATGAATTACTCTTTCAGCAGTTTGGTATCAACTACAAGGACCTTCCACAGATTTTTCGTCAAGGGTCTTGTGCAATCAAGATAAAGGTAGCTACCTTCATCCCGCTTCTCCTAGAGAAGTATATATCTGTATGAGCATGCTGGTGCATGTGCCACTACTCCTTTTTTTGGTTTCTCCTTTTCAGATCTTTAAGATTTGGAGAAAAAAATGGCATTTGGATTTTGAAACACACTTTTCGTTAAATAATAGATGTGTGTGGTTGGTTTTGGAAGATTGGTTTTAGGGAAGAAAACAAGAGAATGGATTAAGAATTTTAAAAAGTTGAGGCAGAAGAAATGATTTAAAATGGTTTTGATATTTTCCCGAGCGAGGGATGGGTGGTTTTGCTGGATGGTGCCTTCCTGACGGTAGGCCCAAGGCTCTCCAAAAACAGAATATAGAAACCAAGTTGGAGACAAATATGTTTTCAAGCGCAGACACTTCTATTATTGTCTGAGTTTTCTAACAAACTTTCCCTTAGGACCACCTTTTGGTTTTAAATTCTTCTTTCTTTCTTGCAAAAAGTCTATAATTTTAGAGGAATGATCTTTTTTTATGGATTAAGTTCATTTACTTCGACTTAACATGTTAATATACACCCAGTTAAATGTATGCATAAAAAAGAGCAAAGCGAGTAGTAATTGAATTCCACACTCTGACAATTGGTGAGTCATCTTATTTGTTGTTCTTTTTCATGTAGCATTAATGTGTAGCTCTTATATCTTGATATAAAATGACATATGCACTAAAGGACTCTTTTTGTGAATCCTCTCAATCACAAAAAGACTGATGCTTGTTCTATGCTCAACCCATGAAAAATTCCCCCACTAGAGGGGTAGGAAAGGAAGAGCGGAAAGTATATGCGGTGCAGTTTGCTCACCACTATAAGGGGGTACTTCATATTATGTGTCTTCCCATCCACATTTTTTAGTTTATATTTGTCCATCTTAATGCAGGTGGAAGATATTGTGAAATACCGAGAAAATGGCACTCCTGTTAAAAGACTAAGGAAGAAAGCAGTCATAGTTCACTCTGAAAATATAGCAACAAAAGGCTTCTGGAATAACTACTCATGCCTTACTGAGGAACTTGGTTTGCTTGCAGAAGGCATTAATAAGATTAAGCCTGAGTATTTGAGGTCTTTCCAATTTGAAAGCAAGTTGATGTTATCTACTTGGATTGTAGTCCGGATAGACGGTTGTCATTTCCACAGGTATCTTGTACTTTCTACCCAATGATCTTCACTATTATTAACTAATTGTTTTATGACCTTTTGCTTGACTTGCAAAGAAGTGTTGACATCATTCTTTTTGATTTATTGTTGTCCTTGTGTATTTTTTCCTTTTCCACTCGATGCACTTGCTCTTGTCTGCGATATGCTTTAGGCTGATTTATTCTTTTTACTTCAAATCCCAAGTTCCATGTCAAAGTGATGTGGCATGATTCTTGCTTATTTTGATAGAGTATGAAAATTTATAGGTAGTATGCATTTTCTGGATAATTTGATCCATGTTTCAGCGGGAGTAGGGTTTTCTTATATGCCTATATTCTTTATCACGTCTGGATTTCTAATTCCGGATTAAAGAAGAAACTCCAAGCATATGCTAAGTTAGTTTTCTATGTCCTGGAAACAACTGCAGTTGTTCAAAACAAAATTGGTTGTTGCCAATAATCCTTAAAATGCATCAGACGCAACATCATGGTTATAATACATGCATATATATAATATCACTAATATAAACTCATGTCTAATACTGAGCATGTCATTTGTGAAATCTAGTTTGGAATTGCTGGTGTCCTGATCTTGACTGATTGATCGTAGGTTTTGTGAAGATAATGGTTTTCAGAAGCCAAATGATGAGCAGGCACTGAATCTTATGAACTCATGTGCGGTTTCTCTGCTAGAGATGTTTAAGGATATTATCTTTGCATATGGGGTGAGCGATGAATATAGGTATTAGTTCCTTTAACATCTTTGATTCACTTATAACATAACCTTTTTCCTTTTCCTTTTATAGTTTATCTTAAGAGATTAATTTTTTCTTTCAGCTTTGTTTTGAAGAAAGAATCTCTATTATATCAGAGGCGGCCAAGGTAAATCTTTCATCACCTTTCATAAGTTCCTTGGAAAGTGTAGTGGTTAGCTAACACAACATATTAAGAGGGAACCAACTGGAGATTGTCAGAATGTGTCCTATAAAATGCTTGGCTTGTTTGAGTGGTGAAATTGTCCTTCTAGAATATTTTGCATTTATAGAAAATTCTGACTTACAGCGATTTCTCGAACCTTTGTCATTAAATTGGTTGAAGTTTCAGTGTGAGTCTATTTGGCCACTGCACGAGGGCAATCCTCAATTAGTTTGCCCAATGTTGTATTGACTTTCTTTTTTATCAGTAATATTAAATGGTATATTAACTTGCCCGTCTGATCATCATTTCAGTGAAATCGTCTCTGCCATTGTATCTCTTTTCTCTGCCATGTATGTGATGAAGTGGAAAGAGTTTTTCCCTGAGAAAGAGTTTAAAGAACCACCTTATTTTGATGGTCGATCCATTTGCTATCCATCATCTGAGATTCTTCGAGATTACTTGGCTTGGAGACAAGTTGATTGTGAGTACTTCCTATTCTATTTGTTATTTTAAAGAATTTCGCAAAATTAATCAGGTTTATATGAAGAAATTTTTGCGTTCTTCTTGGTGCCAAGCTAAAGGACAAATCATACCATATTGACAATCCAACTTTAATACCTTGACTTGTAGGTCACATAAACAATCAGTACAATACTTGTTTCTGGCTGCTTGTTAAGTCCGGAAAGAGTAGAACTGAAGCGCAAATCTCTCTGAAGGTGTGGAATCTCATTTCTAAATTTTTAAAGCAGGTCTCTTGTTTCAGATGAAGTAGCATGACTTAATATAATGTGTGATTTCGCGCTGTTTGGTATATGAGCCTCCTCAAAGGCTTATTACTATTGATTCGATGATCCCTATAGGACGTGGTCAGCGAGAATTAATTATTGGGGACAGACAGACCGGTTTGGAAAATATTTTCATTGCTGCTTAAATCTGCTGGATAATCTCTTTTACGTCATTTTATGTTAAAGAGAAAAACTACTTCAACATCCAATACAAGCTTCACTTGCATTACTTTAGATCTATCTAGCTTACAAGCCTATAGAAAGTAGTACAAGCTTCTTTTTTCTCAGCATGCACATTATTGATGCTGAAGAAATGATCTTCTAAATTTCTGAGATATAAATTGTTAGAAATGACATATTCTTGCCTTTGCCATCTTTCCTTTTACGTGGACTGATGACTCTAAATCTCTGAATCCCAATTGTTTATTGGAAAAGACCATGTGTTGCCTTTGATACATTCCTTTTTTGAGATTATTCAACAAAATAAGCTGTATAACGTATTGTGCCACTGTGGGCTATATCCATTTATTATCAGTTTGTTTTCCATATCTCCACCTTGAAGAAAGTAGTTTTGCCGCCTGTGTTAGTGGTAAAGTATCGCTACATTTGTTGGCATCACACATTTGCTGTGTTTGATGACCGGAATGCTTTGACTGGAAATACATTCAGCAATAATAAGCCCACTTGGTTTGGTGGTAGATGTATTAGGAGTTATAAAAAATGTGATATATAGCTCTTTGAGTGCCCGTTCCTGCTTATAGTACAGTCAGGAAGGGAGTGTTCAAAGATGTAAACACTTCTTAAGCCAGGGGAGAGTAGTCGTTGAGAAATTGGATATCTTATGATCACTGGAAGTAAAGCAGTGGAAATGATAAGTGATGCAGAACTTTAGTTAGTCTTTCCAATTGGGCAATATCTTTTTTAAGCCTAGCACGTAGCGAGGACTAAGCTTTTTGAAAGGTAAAGTAAGAATCTTGTTCAAGCTAGCACTAGTTTTGACTATTGTGGCATATATCTGTTGGGGAAACACACTTAGTTATGGCAATCGAGACTTACACAGAGATGAGATTCCGTTAAACATAGAGGTGGACATACTATGTGAACTCTATTGGCACTGAAACCTTAGTTCCTAAAGGTAACTTTTCTCGTCTAGGAGATTGTAACAAATAACAGTGTAGATCATTAATAATCTTTTGAGTTGTGTAATTTGGCTCGGTAGAAGTCCACCGCACACTCAAGTTTATACTCAAACTTTGATTTAACCTTGATAAATCAGTGGATCTGTTACTGCCATATCTCTCATCCTGTTCTGATCAGATATAAGCAGGTATGCATGATATTAATCTTGATCGTCCAATGACCATAAGAGTCCCTTTTGTTCTGCAGGGTACCCAAACTCAGGAAAAGAATGAGTTGCTTGCCCAGTTTGACATTGATTACAATGCGCTACCAATCATGTTTCGGATGGGTTCCTCTGTTTTCCAGGACAAAGTATCTCTCTCTCTCTCTGCTTAAAGTACTTTTATCTTATGTTTGATGATATTATAGACCAAGCCTGAATTCCTTTTGTTTTGGCCTTCTACCGCCATATGGATGTTGTGAATAAATTTAGGTCTGGCATCACTTGTAAACAACTTGAATAGGGAAAAAGGTCAGATTTGTCTCTGTACTTTGATAGATTGTTCACGTTTATCCCTCGTTCTACTTTCCGTCCAATTACGCCCCCACAGTTAACAAAGTAAACAAAATCACCCCCACCCCTAGCAGATTTCCACCGTGGCAATGGACCCCCTCACTTAAACTGCCAACTGGGCAAATTATCAAACCTAATTTTTAAGACCCCTCACTTCTCCTCAATTTTCAGCTCCACAACTCAATTCAATCCGAACCAAACCAGTCCAAATGCTCTCAAAGTTCAAAAATAAGTTCTTCTACTCAATACCAAGTATACTTAGCAACACACAGGTGATTTCAAATACAAAATTGGAGTTCAATTCAAACCCACTTCGATGCTTAAAGCTGCTCTATAATGGTGGTTTTTTCTTGCTCCGATTCGTTTGCCAACAACAACCAAGCATTAGGAACAACTTAGCCCCTCAATTCCAGCTTCAAATCACACAGAAAATCTCCAAATATTCTATGAAGCTCAGTTTTCGAAGTTGACATAGTGAAAACGCCGAGGAACTTGATGTCTAAGTAAACTTGATTTTTTTTCTTTCAGATTCTTTGTCAATTCAGCTTCACAGCAACAAATAATGATTTATTCTAGATATACCCACGTTTTTCCCTCACCAAAACTCAATCAAACTTCAAAGATCCTTTCAGTAACTCAAACCTCAGATTCGCAATAGTGAAGAACAACAGGTCTTTAAAATTAGGGTAGATTATTTGCCCAGTTGGCAGTTTAAGTGAGGGGGTCCCATTGCCACGGTGGAAATCTGTTAGGGTTGGGGGTGATTTTGTTTACTTTGTTAACGGTGGGGGCGTAATTGGACGGAAAGTAGAACGAGGGGTAAACGCGAACAATTTATCAAAGTACAGAGACAACTCTGGCCTTTTCCCCACTTGAATATTACCTTAAGAAGTGGCTTTTGGTTCTTGTCATTAATGAAATAATTAATCCATCACGAGCATGTTTTCGTTTGAATCCATCAGAAGTTTCAATCTCAAACGTGTAATTTGTTCTCGGTCTCATCTGTATTCTTCACCTTCAGAAGCTACACTCGGCACACAGGTTCATTCACAATACGTACCATTGCTTTGACTTTTGGTGCGGATCAGACTGGTGAAATGGGTGATCACTTGTTCTTATATCTTTGTTTTTTTTGCTTTTTAATGCAGGATGAACTAACTGGAAATGACGAAGTAGTTGTTGAACACTGTAATATAATTGACACGAGCTTTTGGAAAGAACATCCAAGAATACTTGATGAGGAGGAGCCATTGCTGACGATTTTGCGGCCCCATAGCAATAAAATGCTTCGATTGTCTTGATGTTGAAAGAGGAGCTGCTCCCTAAGTTATTAATCATATTCAGTTTTCATTAGATCAGAAAAATAGTTTCAAATTGTCAAATATGTAGATTAGTCGTTTGCCTTTGATTATTCCCTTTACTCCTTTTTTTTCTTCTTCTAAGGGTTAGCAAAACACTCAGAACATTTAGAGCCCGTTTGGATATAAAAAAAATTTCACTGTTTTGGAAATTAGTGTTTGGCCATAAAATTTTCAATTTTCACTTGAAGATGAATTTTGAAATTTTTCAAAAATTTGAAAAATTCCAAGAAGCTGTTTTTCAAAATTTACTCATATCACTCACAAAACTTCAAAAACAACTCAAAATTATATTCATGTCCAAACACAACTCTTATTTTAAAATACCATTTTCACTTGAATTTTTTTCCACTTTTTTTGTTGGAATTTTACATTTCTTATGTCCAAACGCCCACTTAGTAAAGAAGATTTTGTGTTGTATCAATTTCAATATTTAGGTCAACAATGGTTATTGATGAGTACTTAGAAACCTATATTTGTTCTCACCTTCTCAACATACAGTTGGGGACTCCTAAAATAAGCAAAACTAATATGTGTTGGGCTTTTTAAGTTTGGTTTAGTTTAAAAGAGGGTGAATGAAAAATGGAGGGAAAATAAAATATTTGAGTTTTTCTCCTTGACAAAGGGACGTCCCATATTGGAGGAAGAAAAGGCTTTTGATGGGTATATATATAATTGCTCTTCTTCTAGCTCTTAAGGAGTTAAGAAGAATGCAAGCCTCGCGCCGTCGTCACTCGGCACAACTTCGGATTTGGATAGATTTGGATAGATTGATTGATTAATTTTTTTGGACAAAATTTCTTTAATTATTTAATAAAATATTAATTAAATTATCCAAATATCCAACCTGAATCGGATTTGTGCGCGATTGTTCTGAATTTTTATTTAAATTTTCCTCCCGGATTTTTATTTAAATTTTCCTCCCGGATTTTTATTTAAATTTCCCTCCTGTTTTGAAGTGGTTGTTTTTTTTAAGAAACAGTACTTCCATTGACCATAAATTCGTTTGATTCCTGAGATTTTTCCTTATGAATTTTCTGAACTTCAAGACTTCTTCTTCTTTTGCGCAAATCTATTCAATGTGATTTATGGCCATTAAGTGGTTTGCAGTTCATTAGAGTTTTTGGTACCAATACGCTGGTGAGTTAAGTCGTTCTATCCTGGGAGGATAATATTCCAACACCTTGGGTACTTGAAAGGATTAATTTTCTTAAGGACACACTGTGCATTCAGTGGGCTCGATTTATTCTGAAATTCTTTTTTCAGATATTATTTCGACATTCTGTTACTACTAACTTTCTATTTCTATTTTCTGTTTCAGAAAGTTTACTGTTTCGTTATTTATTATAGTAATACAGATTGACTAACAATATATCACTATTTGGAATATTGAAAACACATGTCTAATCAGAATTAGCCTACAATTCATTTTGAAGTACATCATCATTGTAAGGAAGGAAATGAAAAAAAAAGAGGGTAAATTGAAGGATGATCACGTGGACCTCCCCTCAAATTTATATAAATGGCATGTTGGCATTAGGATTTCAGATGAGTTGTTGCCGGATGGTGATTCAGGAAAGAAATGTTCTTCAGATGGAGAAGAACAAATGAAGAAGAAAGCAGACACAAAGTCAAAATTTCAGACTTTACAAGGTTTAAAGAGATAGCATACACTGCCTCAATCACCACCGTTTATTTAAGTGTGTGATAGATCTAATCCTAGCCATTCTTTATTAGCAGGAAGGGTTCCCCAGTCCCTGAAGCCCTCTTTCTCCACTCGAGTCTGAAGAACTGGTGTCAAAACACTCCATTTGCACCATCAAGAAGCTTTCTTGCCTACGTGTAAATATTTTAGATAGATTTGTTTTTGGAGAATATTCCTTTTCTAAGTTAGTTACACATTAGGTGGTAGATAGGAGACAAGTGTACAAATAGGATTACATTCTTTCTTCATTCTTTTTGTATAAATTCATGTACAATGCTTATTTTGAATACACAGAAAATTCAAAATACAAGTGAAGTTTTAACAAAAATTGCAGGCTCCTATACTGAAGAATGTGTCCTGTCCTCTTGGACTTCAATCTTAGAATGCAAACTTGACCCCTCTGGAAGCCCCAACGGTGGACCTTCACATGAACAATTATCAACATTGAATGGCTCCCACTCTTTGATGCCACATCTATCCAATGCAGATACCAACCTTTCTTTTTCCCTTTCAGCTGGATATTGGCCATCTGGGCTCACAAGAACCGCCCCGGTATATGACTGCCCCGCCACCCGTGCAGCTCCATGATAGTGAAACAAACCCCAGCTTAAATCATCAGAAACATCCACAATTGTAACAGAATACTTATCATTTATTAAAGATTACCAATCAATACTATTAAAGTAGTGACTGATTGTGTACATACTTTTTACACTGACACAGAACTTAAACTCATTAATATATACAATATAAATTTGGAGTCAAAGAGAGTGAATGAAGTTGCAAAATACTCACAGTGTGAAGCATGACATCTAGCCAAGGAGCAGAATTGAGAGGGCTAACACTATCCTCTCCAACAATACTCACTATTCTCACTGGATTACTTGTCTTTTTCTCTGCTTCTTTCATTTCCACAGCACCAGCAGCAACTATGCTTTTTGTAGCTCTGATTTTCCTGTTAAGAGAAGAAGAAAACACGGACACTTTAGTTTTCTGGCAGCAGAGAAGAAAAGGGTCTGGAATCCCGGCGACACTGGACTGCCGGTTAACCGGAAAAGTAGCCGGAGAATTGATGGAGGAGGATGGTGCTATGTTTACATTCATGGTTCGTTATGGTTGTTGAAGGAAATGGGAAAATGGGTCCGGTTTTTATAGGTATAAAAGAATTGAATAAAATGACGTCTATTGTAAGGAATGTATAGGAGTTCTGTGGAAGTCCCTCGATTGATTTGAATATCTAACTGTAGTAATATCTGGATTAGTCGGAATAGAAATACAAAGTTAAACGTTAAGATAGTTATAATAAAAATATTATTTTATCCCTTTTAACTATCAAATATAAAAAAATGTCATACGCACGAGCAGGGCGGAGCTAGAGCTTGGACACCGGCTTCGGCAAAATCCAGTGACTTTAGTCCAAACCATATATTTGTCTTAAAAAATTCATTAAATATGTATAAATTATTACTTTAGTTTAATGTATTATCTACTCTTAGTTTTGACAGCGATGGTTTTTTATCTTGCAGTTCTTGCTATTTTAGTCATTTAACCCATAAGGTGAGGTGATAGTACAGTAATTTTAATCCTTCAAAGAGCATGACTTTGCCTTTTATTAGCAGCAAGTTTTTGAATAAAGTTGGACCTCTGCTCTGTTGATTTTCAACTAAGATTTGGTTTGATACTTTTGATACCCCTAACCTTTGTTTATTAGTTTATTCTTAGAGCCTGTTTGGACATACAAAATTTTTTCTTTTTTCCAAAATATTTTTTGAAAACAATGTTTGATTATCAATATCTTACCAATTTTTCCAATTTCACTTGAAAATGCATTTTCAAATTTACCCAGTTTTTCAATTGGAAATGTATTTTCACTAGTTTTTAATTTTACAAATTTACCCTAATACTTTTGAAATTTATAAATGACCCCATCAATTATTAACCTACAACTACCCACCTGTTTCCCCTCGACGATTAGATGAAGCTAGCTACTGCAGCAGATAATGAACCCTTTTCTTGTGACGACTACCATGTTGGCACTAGGCTTGTGAATACGAATACAAGTACTGGTAATAGCAGTGGAAAGCGGACTATGGTAGAAATGTGATACTGAGTTTGCATCTTCTGTATATTGAAGTAAATGATAACGGTTAAACAATATCATATTTGATTGTTTATTTCAAGTAGGATAATTAAATTAGGGCGTTTTGATATTTTTTACAAGTTATGAGAAATAAATCATATTTCATGGATTTGCAAAAAAAAGATATCCAAGTATGTTGCATAAATTATAATCAAACACAACTTCATTTTCAAATTTTAGTGAAATTCCAAATTTGAAAATTTATTTCGGAATACATGTCCAAACGCCTACTTAATCCTTTTAAAAACAAAACGAAGGAGAAATAAAGGGAGCCAGCAAAATAACCAATAAGTTTGGAGTAACTTCTGGCAGCGTTTTGCCATTGACATTTTGAATGAAATTAAAACAAATAATCATAGCCAAAAGACTTCTATGTACATAATGGGACATTCTTATGTACAGTAAGCACAAAAGTGGACAAAACTACATTGTAGTTATGTAGTCATATGAGTACCAAGACAATCAGAGAAGGGGAGATGGGATATTTTACGTTCAAGAACCAAGATACATGCACTTGAAAAATCCAAATCCACATTTACAACAGTGGAACGCCTCTGGTATTTTATCTGAGCTAAAAACTTCAGCAAAAGTGGCATATCCTCCCCTGTAACAGCAAAATATATTGCTTCACCTTTCAATCACATCTTGTTCATTCAACGCCCCTGGGCACAGTGACTAACAATACTGCAGAAAGCTGGAATTTAATGGTGCATTGATCATTCATGATATTGATATATAAAAACTGGAAAATAGAAAGTGGCTTGTCCAGTGGTTAACAAATACATCTAGTATACCCTGGAGATTACAAAATGAAGTGAAAGACATATGAAGCAAGATAGAGCTAATTGATGAGACAGAGGTGAATCACACTTAGAAGGTAACAAAGTGGCAGACAATTTATCTAAATTGTGGTTTATATTGTAGCGCCATCACCTGTATACAATCTTTCAACATCTCCTAAGGGAAGGTTAACATGGATCGACAACTGCTTCGACTATATAATTTTGATGTACTTTGATTTTCTTTTTTGTAGCATAGGGAGGATCTCTCACTTCCTATCTCCCTTTTGTGAAAATATTTGACGACCTACATATGTATTGGTTCATGTTCCACCTCTGTAGGAACAGAGAGTTTGGGATGCCAACTCTTCTGCATTTTGTACTCCTTTTTTTATATGGAAACTTACACAAATGTCCCAAATAAGAGCCTGTTTGGATAGGCTTATTTTAAGTGACTTTTAAGCCAAAATAGCTTTTAAGCCATAAGTTAGGAATTCTAGCTTTTTGCTTTTGGCTTGTTTTTGTCATTTTAGCTTAAAATCATTTTTTTACTTTATCCAAACACAACAAAATGACTTAAAAGCACTTAAAACAAGCCAATCCAAACGGGCTCTAAACCTCAACTTACCAACTTCTAGCCATTAGTCATAGACTTACCAAAACTAGCCAACAAAAATTGAAAACCAAATAATAGGGTTCTTTCTCTCAAAGAATCACATGCAAAAATCACCTTCCATATTTTTAAGCGTGATTAGCAACATGAGATACAAGACGGAGAGAAAATTTTATGAACGGGGTAGCAAATAAGGTGATGAAATACAAAAATCTATACAATATTCCAAAAATCTAAACAAAAAAGGAACTGTTTCATTGGGTATAGTTGAAATTCATTGAAAATATATAGATAAGTCAATACACAAAATTTGAAGAAGATTGGAGGTGATTTGGACTGATTTTGTATCAAAATTCGTAATTAAATCGAGTTCAAAAAAGTCTTTTGCGACACATGTATCAAACATGTATCACGCATGTATCACACACACAGGTATACATGGATATACATGTGATACACAATTGATATAAATATGATACATATGTGATACACAAATGATACTCAATGTGATACACATATCATTTTTTTTCATGTTCAGCTTTTACTTCGAATTTTCAATTCAAACCACCTCAAAACTTCACCAAATCATCCCAAAACTGATATTCAAGCTCCTTAAGTTGGCCCAATCTATTCTAATAACACCCACTCAAAACAAAGCAAAAATTTGATATTTTTTTGCTAGAAATAGCTAATTGGCTAATTTGGCTAATATTAATAATTGACCAATTTTTGTAATGAGCTACTTATAAGTGGACAGCTGATAATTTTCCTTTTTATATTGAATAAAAACAGGTTCGTTGATTAAAAAAAAAAAGAAAATATATACGTTACACCTGTATCACCAAACAAGGCAAAAGATAAGAAGCTAATAGATTAGTACATCGCAAAGGTCAAAATTAGCTGACAAAAATAATTTTGTACTTTGCACAATATTTAAGTTTGTACCAAATATAAGCATGTCATCAACATATAGACATATTATCACATAATCATTGTCTACAACTTTAGTATAAACACATTTATCCACCTCAACTGAAGAAAACTCGTCTCTCAGTAAGACTTGTTCAAATTTCTCATACCACTGCTTAGGAGCTTGTTTAAGGCCATAAAGAGATTTAATTAATTTACAAACTTTATTTTCTTGTCCAGGAATGACACAGCCTTCAGGTTGAACCATATAAACTTCTTCTTCTAAATCACCATTCAAAAAAGCAGTTTTGACATCCATTTGGTGGATAAAAAGCTTACGGATTGAAGCTAAGGCAATTAAAACTCGAATAGCAGAAATTCTAGTCACTGGTGCAAATGTATCAAAATAATCTATATTTTGTTTTTGAGAAAATCCTTTTGCTACTAACCGAGCTTTATATTCATCTAAAGATCCATCTGGATTAAATTTCTTTTTGAAAATTCATTTACAACCAATAGGTTTTGCACCAGAAGGTAAGTCAGTTAAAATTCATGTGTTATTTTTCATAATAGAATCAATTTCAACTTTTATTGCCTCTTTCCAATGTTTAGCATCTGAAGAAGATATAGCTTCAAAATAATTTGACGGTTTATTATCGACAAGAAAAGTTTGAAAATCATTTCCATATGAAAAATATTCTTTCCTAGGCCTTTTACTCCTTCTCAATTCCTCATTAGAGGTAATTATTTTAACAGGTGTATGAGAAATTTTATCAGATAGTGGAAAAATATGTTCAAAGAATTCAGTATTCTTGTCTCAATTATAGTATTGCAATCAAGCACATCACTTTTTAAAACAAGAAATCTATATGCAACACTATGTTCAGCATATCCAATAAGCATGCAATCAGCAGTTTTAGAACCTATTTTCCTCTTTTTAGGTTCAGGCAAAAGAACTTTAGCAAGGCACCCCCACACTTTTAAATATTTCAAGTTAGGTTTATAACCTTTCCACAATGCATAAGGAGTTTTGCCTGTTGTTCTATGTGGTATTCTATTTTGTAAGTGACATGCAGATAAAATAGCTTCACCCCACAAATTATCAGGAGCATTAGAACTGACTAACATAGAGTTCATCATCTCTTTCAATGTTCTATTTTTCCTTTCAGCTACTCCATTTGACTCAGGTGAATAAGGCAGAGTTACTTCATGAATTATTCCATTCTTTTCACAAAAATCATTTAAAGATAAATATTCTCCACCTCTATCAGATCTGATTCTCTTGATTTTTCTACTAAGTTAATTCTCAACCTCAGTTTTATAAGAAATAAAAGCATTAAATGCATCATCTTTATTTCTAAGCAAATACAACTTAGTATATCTAGAAAAATCATCAATAAAAGTGACATAATATCTTTTACCACCTCTAGTCATAGTCTGCTTCAAGTGGCCTAAATCAGTGTGAATTAAAGATAACAATTCAGTTTCTCTATTTACGGAAAAACATGTCTTTCTAGTACTTTTGGCTTCAACACATATTTCACACTTGTCAATATTATTTGAGTCTAAACCAGATATTAATCCTAGCGACTGCATTTTCTTTATATACGCGACATTAACATGTCCTAGTCTAGCATGCCACAAAGAAATTGATTCAACCATATAAGCAGAAGAAGATGCATTTTCATTGCTAGTATTAAAAATATTAAGCACAAATAAACCATAGTTACAATATCCATTGCCCATAAAAATATCATTTTTGGTCAATACGACCTCATTATTTTCAAATGAAACCTTCACTCCAACTTTTCCTAATAACCCCACAGAAACCCAATTGGTTTGGATATTAAGAACATGCAATACATCACTCAATGCTAGAGTTTTACCAGATGTGAGTTTGAGAAGAATTTTTCCTTTCCCAAGATCACGAGTTATTCTTGAGTCACCAAGATAAATAGTTTCTTCTCCTTCCTCAACTTGGTTGTAAGACAAAAATGTATTTTTGTTTGCACAAATGTGCCTAGTAGCACCAGAGTCTATCACCCAATCTCTCACACTGGCCACATTATTTATTTGGGAAATGACCGCAACAATTATATTATCCGCTTTAGTCAAATTTAATTTTGACTTAGCAAGATTGTCATTTATCCCAACTCTACTATTGCATTGAGGTGCATTTTTCTTGAAGGTTTTAATATTAACATATGATATGTAACCATGTCTATTTACATACCTGTGTTTTGACATTAGTGTCTGCCGAGGTTGTTGATGCAATAACATATTTGCAACACTATGGATATCTGGGAGGACAGCTGGAACGGTAGCAGTAGAGACCACCAAAATTGGTAGCACCATCAAAAATTTCCGTACTAGTATTACTTGCCATAGTTTCTTAGATTGTAGGAAAATGACACCGAAAAACTAATAATAATAATACTGCAATAATATTATTTGTGAACGGATACACGGACTGGCTTGAGTCCTGCTAGGCACTGTCCTAAGAAACTATTTCAGCAATGTGAAATGTTTCCCCAGGATTAAACAAGCCTACCTCTATTAGGGAGGATACAGGAATCAGCAAAATAGTAAATTACAAACCCAGCTATCTTAAAAGAGGGAACAAAACAAAGTAGACTATAAATGTTTTAAGGAGGAAGAAAAGGAACGAAAGAAGCAAAGTGAAGAATGTACTGCTCCATGATGTCTACTTGTAGGCCTATTTATAGGCTAATTGAGGGGCTTAGGTCATGCCAAGTGTATGACACTTGTTTATAACTTTGCATGCAATTTGCCACATGGTTGAACACTTGACACTTGTTTATGACTTTCCATGCAAGTTGCCACATGGTTAAACACTTGTCCATTTTTTGAAAAATATTACAACATGCAAAGCCGTCAACAACAACAACAACAATTATAACAACCCAGTAAAATCCCACTAGTGGGGTCTAGGAGGGTAGTTTGTACGCAGACTTTACCCCTACCCCGAAGGAGTAGAGAGGCAGGAATGCAAAGCCGTCAAATAGCAGAATTTGTTTCACTATTATATTAGCCAAAAATATAAGGAGAAATGATCAATTAAAGGGTAAATCTTTAAGAAATTTAAACTCTGTTCATCTACAGATTAAGCAACTCTCAATAATTCTAACACAAAATATTTATATATAAACGCATCAACTGGTATTGAAATTTTTTAAAGATAAAATGTACAATTCGTTTAATACATACCTTGATGAAAGGCGTTTCATAAATTTCTTCAGCTGTCTTTGAGAGCATCTTTTCGCCAAGAAGACCAGAAACAACAGTTGTTGATACACTTCTATCGGTAAGATCAATTAGTAACAAACACTTGTAATGAACGAGTCTTTTAACATATACGCGTATATATATTTGTTCGTATATATACGATAATTTGCTAAATAGATGAAGCTTCTAAGTGGGTGAACAAATAATATCGATGAACTAATGTTGTATATCTTTTGCAATTATGTAATGAAACATACTTTAACATCGAACTCGCAAAATTTGTTTGCAATATGAGCATTCAAGCACATCAAAATGTTGCAAATGATCATTTGGCAGTAATATTTCTGAGTCGATGAAATCGCTGCATCAGTCAACTTAAGCGAATTACATGCTATTATGTTTCTTATACCAATAAAAGCATATGTTTGGACATATATATAGTAGACGCACAATAAGTTTGTGATTGAGTTACTGTAGTAGGAACAATTCTTTCATGAGAAAGAACCACCATAAGTGAAGCAGATCGGAAAAGTATATAGTCACACAAGAGAAAAAAGAGACGGACAACTTTTTCCTTCTCTTTTCATTTGAAAGCTACTAAATATTGACTTTTCCAAGAAAAGTTATTGTTTACCCTGGAATCCGGGTAACAATTGAATTTATATGGGGTTTTAAGGATCCGTGAAATAAAAGATACAAAAGGTTTAGATTGAGGAAAATAAAAGATAAAGACTCAACAATTGCTGTTAAAGTAAATAATCGCAGAATATAATATTGCTTAGAACAATTGTGCTTGATAGCGTACAAGAATTGAGAGAGATGGTACTGTAGTGTAATGATTTCCGATGCCCTCTTTATGGGGTCTTCTCCCCTTTTATACATTCTGATTAAGGGTAAAAATAAGGTAGGTAAATCAATTACATCGTGGATCCCTGTAATTACGCCTTAGTGGCCTGAAGTGGTTGAGAAAATCACGTTTGGGCGAGATATCCGGCGACGCTTGGTTATCCGTTACGAGTCCGGCTTCCGACCTTGTGTGTTTCTCCATCCGGTGGTGACTCATATCGAGCTCTGCAACGGTCTCGAAATGACTTGACCTCGGTTGTAGACGTGGCCGTCGTTCTACCTTGCATCCAGGTCGGGTTCGATGGCCCCGACTTGCCCCGGACCGGACCCAACCCGGTCGGGCTCAAGCAAAAAAGGGTATCACCCAATACAGTTATACCAAAAAATGACCAAACCGATCATTAATTACTTCTAGGTTTTTAACAAGGCGTAGGAGAAAAAAATAAAAAAAAATCACAGAAACAATATTAACAAAATAGAAATACTCTCAAACCTAGTGAAAAAACATGTATATACAAAGGTGCATTCTTATTTAAGAAAACAAACACAGAAATGGAAATGGGTGGCAGCTGGAAAGTTTACTATACAAAGTGCATCTCTCTCATGAATTAATGCAAACAAATTGAGATTGAGTGACTATCACATTTCAGATATTTTAATCAAAGAATTCCGATAAAACGCAAATTTAGTTCTACCCACTCCAAAAGAACAAAAATTTCACAAATATTTCTTGCCAAACAAACATATCAAAATCAGATAGAATTCTATACATGCATGTAGAAAATCTAGCATTAATAAATTATGCAAAAGAATAGAAAAAATAACATTGAACCAAATATGGACAAACTTTCAGAAAAATTCAAAAGTGAAGCTAGAACACGGTGCAAGAGAAGAACAAGAGACAAAAGTTACCAGGCTAGAAGATTGTACAAGCAGAAGGTAAAAGCAAAAAAGAACAGAATTCATGAAAAACATAGAAAGTGGAGAAAACTCCGACATAGAGATCCAAAGAAGGCCAAAATAATTGAAAAACTCACCCAAAAAAGAATACACCTGCAATTCTTGAAATAGCGAAGCAAAAAGAAAATCGCAAAGAGGAACTGAGGAGAGAGAACTGGAGTGAAGAGTTGAATAATCGAGAGTTTGTATCTGAAATAGTAAAGTACACGTGTTTTGGTAAAGCAAAAGGTATGATATACGTGTCAATTCGGTAATAAGATAGGCCCAAATAAAAGTATAATGTACAATACATTCTGTAGAATTAAGGATTGCTGTGTTCGTACAGCCTTAGCCTCTTATATATGGGTAAAGTAAAGTAAAGTAAAGTAATAATACATCATGAAAATATTTTCTTAAAAAATAACATACCTTTGATATTCATACCTAATGGATCCTTCGTTTACATGATTTATTTTGTTGAAACAAGCAAAATCTCTAAGTATTCGATATTTATTTTGGGGGTTCTGACTAGTGACTACAACAATAATAGTATATCCGGTATAAACTTACAAATAGGGTATGGGGAGGGTAATATGTACACAAACTTTATCTTAACCGTTTCTAACTAATTTTGGGGATTTTGACTAATTCCATAATTGAAGAATTAACCTAAATGATCTCTGTGTTGGTCAAAATTTGGATTAGACTTAATAGCTGCAAATGGACGTGGTCGGGAATTAAGCCGACCACGGCATGAAGGCGAAGAGTCGCCTTAAGAAAGATTAAGGCCGAGGCCAAGCAAAGGGTGTATGAAAATAATGGTAGGATAAGTTAGCATAGAAAGAAGGAATATTCTATTGAATATTTTTTCGGTTGTACTTTTTTAGGGTTTCTCAAGAATATCCCCTATAAATAGGAAGAGATAAAGAACAAAGAGGGGACTTTTCACTTTTCCATAAGAGCATATTGTAAATGGTTGACTATAAAGAACATACAAAAGCTTGTCTTGTTTACTGATTACATTGTTCAATATACACTATTCATTCACAAGATCCAAAGATTCCTTATTCATCTCCCTCTTCTATTCCCCCACGTTGTTGTCAGGAAGGAGAATCATCCAAGTTACCTAACATTCGGGTGATAAATTCCTTTTTATTACATTTATTGTCAATATCTACTTATTGCATATTGCTATTACTACATTCATTGGCAATCATTGAGCATATATTTGATATTCATTATTTTTGAACACGGTCCCACATCACTGATCTACCCTAGTTTTAGATCTAGAATTTATTACGTTTAACTAGGAGTCACCCTTTATTTCTTCATTAATTAGTTTAACAAAAAGCTTAACACTTTTTGGTCAAAAATTTTGGCGCCGTCTATAGGGAGTTTCTAGTTAAAATTTTAGTTTCTTCTAGATCAAAAAAAAAACAACACCCATCCTTTTCTCGTTTGCACGAACTAACAATGGCAGGAAAAGGAGACGAAAGATAGAAAGCAGTAGCGGACGTCACTACTAACCTCATGAACACTATCAACGAGGTTGACAGAGAAGACGAGGAGAATGTGACGCCGAGTGTCACACCTAGGCGGAGCTCCCCCTTATGGAAGCGTAACCACTTCACACGAAAGGGGAGCCTCCACGTCCACAACTGAGGAAGCGCCACCAGCAGTAAAAAGGCTATCGAAAGTGTGGTTGAAAATTACTCTAAACAACATACTTGACAAACCCATTAAAAGGGTGAATGGAAGCGCCGCACAAGCGGATACAACAACAACCACCAACGAGCAACCTGCTCCCGCTCCTCTCCCAACAGGTAACACTCACACTACTTTGATGCAGGTAATGACGCACTTGCAGCCATTCTAAAGAAAATGGAAGAAATGGAGAACGAGAATAAAGCGCTCCGCGATCAAATGAGGGAGCATCAAGAAAGGGTTGATAAGATACAGGGCGCCCCGAAACTGCTACCAAAATGGGACGTCGGCTGGTTCGTCGAAAAACCGTACAGCGAGAAAGCAGCCCCACATGCCATACCCAAGACCTTCAAAATGCCACCATACTTGAAGATATACGACGGCACAACAGATCTCGAAGATCACATCATTCATTAAGTCACAGCAGTAAAAGGCAACGACCTCTCAAAAGAGCAGGTACCGTCAGTGTTGCTGAAGAAGTTCGGCGAAACCCTAACAGGGGGAGCCTTAACATGGTACTCACAATTACCAGCACGTTTAATTACAACATTCGACGAGATGGCCGACAAGTTTGTCACCGCCCATGCCGGGGCTAAAAAGGCGGAGGCTAGGGTGAACGATATATTCGCCGTTAGAAAAATGCCTGGCGATGGACTCAGGGACTTCCTCGCCCGGTTCAATAGAGTAAGAATGAGCTTGCCAAACGTATCAGAAAGGATGGCGGTGGCAGCTTTCCAGAATGGATTGAACAGGAATGGGTCGAGGGCAACCGGAAAGTTGTTGAGCAGACTCATTAAATACCCTCCCACCACTTGGGAAGAAATTCACAATGCCTATTGTGCCGAGGTGAGAGCAGACGAGGAGGATCTCAACGGCCCAACCCAACGGCTAACATCAGTCCAAACAGAGTCGAGGAAAGATCACGGTAATGACGGCCGACGAGACCATCCGGGTCCACGCCTCAACCGGGGACATGCACCAACCATATGTCAAAACGGCCATCCCACCTTCTCCTAGAAGGGCCAGCTAGGCCCCATACAAGACTCAGCGAAACGAAAGAGGTATGCCTCCACTCTTATCTGCTCACAATTTTTGTGTTTCCCCTTCAGAAATAGTGTACGCACTAGAGAAGCTCGGACCGAAGGTGAAATGGCCACAAAAGATGAAGTGTAACCAAAGTACCAGAAAGTTAAACCCCCTCTATGAGATTCATCCGGAGCGGGGTCACAAGACCGAAGACTGCATAGCCCTACGGCAAGAAGTAGTAAACATGCTTCATCAAGGAAACCTAAGGGAGCTGATGAGCAACCGAGGAAGAGCCAACTTTGGCCGCGGATGAGAACAACACCAAGGCCCTCCAAAGCCACCCTCCCCTGCCCGCACCATCCAAATGATCATCGGTGGAGGCGACGAAGCAGCAATCAATCACGTAATGTTCACCACCACACATAAACTGAAGCGGTAGATCACCCATGAACGGTATGATGACCTCGAAGATAGTATCATCTTCGATAAGTCAGACACCCACGGTTTGACCTTTCCTTACTTCGATGCTCTTGTCATTACTTTACGTATTTTAGATACTGATGTAAAAAGAATAATGGTAGACGACTGTCGCGCCCCCTTTTACCTCGCGGAGTCCGGGTTTCGACATTTGGGATAACTCCTTTCCTTTTGGAATTGGGTAAGAGATTTGAAGAGTCGCCACCTAATGGATTAAGGTGCGTTAGGGCACCCAAAACAATTAACTCGTGAAACCAGTTTACATTACCAGAGATTGGGTAAAGGCTCGAAATTACTTCGAGGGGTAGGTCTTAGGCACCTCTCGAGGTCCACAATGGTGGGTCCCGGCCAAACTCAATTTAAGTGAATTAGTCTTTAAGGAAATAAAGTAGTTTAAACAAATAGAGATTATTTTAAAACGGGAATTAAAGGGGTCCTAAGTTTATTAGCCTATAGGATCACTTCTATGCAATACTCGGTAACCTTCCCCAAATTGAGGTGTTACGCGTAGCATTAGCGCACAGGTCATCATCTCCTTTACTACCCAATTACCCTCAACTTTTCAATTATTAACTAAGCGTTCTAATAACATCCAGTACGTACCTTATGCGTGCACTACCCGTCCCTTACCTCTGGCCCTGGAGGTGTTTAGGACCTCTATTTAAGGCGGTTCAAGACTCACCTATGTTATTTAAAGGGAGAAAACTAAGCGACACACAAAAGTCAAGTAGGACCGTCACATAAAGAGCAATTGAGTGGGCTCATGTTAACCTCCACAAATAGACAAACAAATGCACGCTGTTCAAACAAGCAATTTTAGATGATTTTAGGATCCTATAGGCAGGATACCAAAATGAGCACAAACAGAATATACAGCAGTTTTATTAAAGCGAGCAGATGAGTACCTATCAGTTTGCCTATTGATTTTGTTAATACTCTGAATCCGGGCATATTTCAAACAAGCAATCACAGTTTTTAGACCCAGAATTTTAATTAACCTACAGGTTTGCCTAAGTGATAGTCGGCCAGAACCCCATAGACATGGTATCTAAGCTGTAAACCAGTTACTGATTTTAACAGGCAGATTTTATCATTAAATCCTATAGGCATGCTTTCTAAGTGCTGAAACGGGTTACAAACATTATTCCCTATAGGCATGATATCTAAATATTAAGACTGATTTTATACATTCCTTATAGGCATGATATCTAGGTGAGTAAAGGCGTTAATAAGTTGCCAAGCCAGTTCAATAAAGAATGTCCTAGAAACACGATCTCTAATGCACATAGGGAGATTTTGGGAAAACTATGGTTCTTTGATGCAAAATTGATAAATGACCTAGAAGCAGAATTTTCAGGATGCAAAAGTGTGAAAAATTTAGGGAATTACAAGTAATGAGATAAGGTCCTATAGGCATGGTTTCTAATGGCATGCACATAAAGAATCACCACAACAACCTATAGCATTGATTTCTACCCGATTTGACAAATTATATATAATATATATAAAATATATATATATAAGATCCCTCCCCAGCATTTACTAATAAACCCCATATGTGTTTTTACAAGGATTATTACATTATTACAGACCAATACAAGGAAAAATCATTATACTATAGGGAGCCTTGGCAGGCCCAATGTCAACCTGGAAACCAAGCCTTCAAGCAAGCAAGTCTGATGTCCACAGGTAGTCCACAATACACAAAATGGCTTCTGGTGTGTCAAAGTTCCCAAGGGCCTCAGGGACCCCGGGCAATGCTCACACCAGAACCTTTTCAAAAAGAACAGTTTTGTAAAGAGTTTTGGAAGGCAGCCTCAGTGTGTCAGAATTTGGAGGAGTCTCATGGACCCTAGGCAGTGCTCATACTGGAGGGTGCAGGACCCTAGATAGCTAAGAGTAAGGATTTGAAAAGAATAACAAGGGTAGGGGATAGATTTATGAAAAAAAAAAGTTTATTTCCAGAAGTGAATAGAAACAAGTTTAAACAGAAACAGAACCATATTCAGCAAATTGATTCAGATATAGTACCAGTATTAAAAACCACAAACAAAATAGGAACACTGGAATCATAGATACAGGTACAATTGAGTCAAACAAGGTTTC